AAAATGGATACAGAACTGGCTTAATCATAGGAGACAGAGGATAGCGGTGGAAGGATGCTTTTTAGAATAAAGGGCTGTGACTAGTGGGATCAATGCTGGGACCTCTGCTGTTCATGATCTACGTAAATGATTTAGAGGAAATGTTGCTGGTCTAATTAGCAAGTTTGCAGACGATACAACCAGTCGTGGAGTTGCGGATAGTGAGGAGGAGAATTGTCAGAGGTTACAGCAGGATATAGATCAGTTGGCAGCATGGGCAGAAAAATGGCAGATGGAGTTTAATCTGGACAAATGTGAGGTGATGCATTTTGGAAGGTCAAGTACAGGTGGAAATTATGCAGTGAATGGCAGAAACTTCCGGAGTATTTATATGCAGTGAGATCTGGGTGTGCAGGTCCACAGGTCAGTGAAGGTGGCAGCGCAGGTCGATAAGGTATTAAAATGGCCTACAGCATGCTTGCCTTCATTGGAAGGGACATTGAGTATAAAGATAGAGTTACGCTGCAGCTTAATAGAACGTTAGTTAGGCCACACCTGGAATATTACGTGCAGTCCTGGCCACCACACTACCAGAAGTATGTGGATGATTTGGAGAGGGAACAGAAAAAGTTTACCAGGATGTTGGCTGATATGGGGGATTTTAGCTATGAAGAAAGGTTAGAAAGACTGGGTTTGGTTTCACTGGAACGCAAGACGTTGAGAGGCACCCTGACAGAAGTTTATAAGATTGTGAATGGCATGGATATAGTATGATGCTTTTTCACAGTGTGGAAGGGTCAATTAGTAGGAGACACAGGTTCAAGGTGCGAGGGGGGAAGTTTGAAAGAGATGTGCGAGACAAGTTTTTCACACAAAGGATCACGAGTGCCTGGAACACGGTGCCAGAGGAGGTGGTGGAAGCAGACACAATAACAGCATTCACAAAGCACCTGGATGAATATGTGAATAGGAAGGGAATAGAGGGATATGGATCCTGTAAGTGAAGGCAATTTTAATATGGAAGGGCAAAATGTGTTGGCACAGGGTTGGAGGGCTGAAGGGCCTGACTCTGTGCTGTATTGTTCTTTGTTCTTTGTTCCACAGGGTCCCTATGCTCAACTCTCATCTATACTGGAACGACTAATAGGCCATGGGAAAATGCAGGCCCCTCAGCTGCAAAAGGCAATTTGGACTCAGCAAGCGCTAGTTTACACAGCAGGCTGCCCTCAGCTAGCAAACCCTCTGTAAAACTCATGAGAGAATGTGATACTCAAACCCTAGAAACAAAGTTGGAATTTCTTGCAAGATTGATGGGAATCCACACAGGTTTATTTTCAAGCCATCAAAAATAAAAATATCAGACTTGACCACATTCATCATAACACTTTGCTGGAATTAGACTGCACTGGGTGCAAAGTTCAAGTGAGAAATGGTCCTGGATGTAGCTTAATATTGTTGCACTCTGCAATCACACTGCGATCTGATTCTTAAATCAAGGAATGGCAGTATAGGGTTATCCTGCAGATAAGTGTTGCATTTAATGTTTGCATACATTTGTGTCCAGAGTACAATTTTTTAAAATCTAACATTATTATTAGAAACTAACATAACTTAATGTGGAAATTGTTAATTTAGTAAAGTCAGAAAACTTAGGAATGAGGAACAATGTAGAAAAGATACTCAGGTAGTCCAGGAAAATTATATCAAGTTTTGTTTAAAAAAGAAGACACTTGCAGCCAAAAGCTGAGATCCTGCGGTTATCTGTGGGAATTGCTTGTGCATGCAAAACACATCAGATTTGAATATCTAGGACCATCTAAGCGATAAGACCAGAGGCAGTTAAATGAAAGATGGATGTGGAAAACTTTGGTGTGAGATGCATGTGAAAGAATTGCCAATTAGGGGAGGAAAGTGTGCTCAAGTACAGAATCTGAAGAGGAATGTAGCGAGTGAGAACTGAATTGGATAAGAGCCAAAGCAAAAGAGGATTTCCAGATCAGATTGATATGGTGGAGAAATTTAGAAAATAAGGCAAGAACAAACAAGAGAAGACAGGAAGGGAGTGAGAGAGGAACAGGGAAAAGCGTGCATAGTGCATAGTTCCTTGAAAGTGATGTAGGTGGTAGTGAAGAAGGCACTTGGCACGTTACCTTCATTGGGCAGTGCATTGAGTGTAGGAGTTGGGATGTTATGTTGCAGCTGTACGGGACATTGGTTAGGCCCCTTTTGGAATACTGCATTCAGTTCTGGTCTCCCTGCTATAAGAAAAATGTTGTTAAACTTGAAAAGTGTTCAGAAAAGAGATTTACAAGAATGTTGCTGGGATTGGAAGGTTTGAGCTATAGGGACAGGCTGAATAGGCTTGGGCTATTTTCCCCTGGAGCATAGGAGGCTGAGGGGTGACCTTATAGGAGTTTATAAAATCATGAGCAGCATGGATAGGGTAAATAGCCAAGGTCTTTTTCACATGGTAAGGGAATCCAAAATTAGAGGGCAAGGTTTAAGGTGAGGGGGGAAAGATTTAATTGGGAGCTAAGGGACAATTTTTTCATGCAGAGGGTAGTATATATATGGAACAAGCTGCCAGGGGAGGTGAAGGAGGCTGGTACAATTACAACATTTAAAAGGCATCTGGATTGGTATATGAATGAGAAGGGTTTAGAGGGATATGGGTCAAAACTAGCAAATAGGACTAGATTAAAGTAGCATATCTGGTTGGCAAGTATGAGTTGGACCGAAGGGTCTGTTTCCATGCTGTACAGCTCTATGACTCGATGACCCTAAGTGCCTGAAGCCCAAAAGCCGCAAGAAGATGAGTCATTCTTGAGTTACCTGTCCAGGCTTCATGCGGGAAGTAAATTATTGTCTGGTTTTATTGCTATTGTTTGCCCTACAAAGTTAATGATTGTGTGCTGACTTAATCTTATTAAAGCAGGCTCACAACTGAACTTTCTAGCAGTCCATTCCCATAACAGTTAGGGGGTTGTGCATGTTATTTCGTGCATATCAACTCAAAAACAGGAGCAGAAAGTGATGTAGAAACTCAATATGTCTGACAACATCAATGGGAGACAGAAACAAAATTAACAGTTTGAGTCCGATATGACTCTTTTTCAGAAGGCATTCAGAAACAGCAGGAGTAACATCTGACTGAACCAACTGGGGAAGACTAATTCTCAGCCTGTCTGAGTTAGCACCAGGTACAAACTTACTATTTTAACATGACGTGATCAAGTCACTTTTGGGAACCTTTAAGTGCTGATTTTTCAATATATTTGTAGAAAACAATTGTTCCCGACTGCCTGCTGCCTTGCTTGGTTATGTTTGCACCAATGTGTCCTTGGAGAGTAAGCTGCCCTTCAGTGCTTCGTCATTATCCTACAAAACAGTATTTCAATTTAAAAAGTTTCCTTTGTGATTTGATTTTTGTCACAGTGTCACAAATTTTGTTTGTTATTACATTCAAATCGTAAAAAGTAGATGACCACCTACATGTTGGTGAAGATATATTGGTCAGGAAGAGAGTTTTTGTTTTGTGTAAAAGTATTATGGACAAGTAAGCTGAAATTTGAGCAAAATCGATTCCATCACATCACATGCACCAGAGGGCATGGATGAACTATTTTACAAAGAGACGTTGAGTATGTTGGGCCTGTACTCATTGGAGTTTAGAAGAATGACAGGAAACTTTTATTGGAACATCAGGAATTCTGATGGAGCTTGACAGGGTAGATGTGGAGAGATTGTTTTCCCCTGTGGGAGAGTCCGGACCAGAGGGGATAAACTCGGAATAAGGGGTTGCCCATTTAAGACAGAGATGAGGAGGAATTTCTTCTCTCAGAGGGTAAGGAATCTGTGAAATCTTTATCACACAGAGCAGTCGAGGGGGAGTTATTAAGTATGTTCGAGGCTGAGGCGGACAGAGTTTTAATTAGTGAGAGAATCAGGGATACAGAAAAAAAGGAGAAAAGTAAAGTTCAGGATGATCAGATCACCCTTGATCCTACAGAATTGGGGAGCAGACTCAATGGGCCGAATGGCCTACTCTTATGGTCTTAACACAGGGTCCACAAACTCCCTCATTGAAATACTGTTTTGTAGGATAATGACGAAGCACTGAAGGGCAGCTTACTCTCCAAGGACACATTGGTGCAAACATAACCAAGCAAGGCAGCAGGCAGTCGGGAACAATTGTTTTCTACAAATATATTGAAAAATCAACACTTAAAGGCCAAAAGTGACTTGATCACGTCATGTTAAAATAGTAAGTTTGTACCTGGTGCTAACTCAGACAGGCTGAGAATTAGTCTTTCCCAGTTGGTTCAGTCAGATGTTACTCCTGCTGTTTCTGAATGCCTTCTGAAAAAGAGTCATATCGGACTCAAACTGTTAATTTTGTTTCTGTCTCCCATTGATGTTGTCAGACATATTGAGTTTCTGCATCACTTTCTGCTCCTGTTTTTGAGTTGATATGCATGAAATAACATGCACAACCCCCTAACTGTTATGGGAATGGACTGCTAGAAAGTTCAGTTGTGAGCCTGCTTTAATAAGATTAAGTCAGCACACAATCATTAACTTTGTAGGGCAAACAATAGCAATAAAACCAGACAATAATTTATTCCCTCATTCATGACTCCCTGACAGTTTCCAGTCCTGCACAGCTCTGCTGACATCGTCATACCTTAGACACTGACATCAGCACAGCCAATAGCCCCTAAACCTCACTGGCCCAGTGAGGGGCATCCCACCTCTGCGATTGACAGTCTGGGTTCAAATCCCACTCTAGGGCTTGACAGGTTGAGCATGTCTCCCACCTGACTGACTACTCTGAGGTTGGTGGCCCTGTGCATCTTTGGAGGGAAATAACAACCGGAGAGATGTGGAAGGCAGACACAGCAAACCAATTACAGCTGAAGTGGATCTCTATCCAATCATCTAAGTCCAACTTTAAATGACATTCAGTATATCATACACCTTTTGTACCTCTGTCTCACCCTTTATAGACAATGGTTAATTACCTCGAAGACTTTGAGGGTCCGGGAGAGTGAAGAGCTCTTGGTACCGCGGACCGTGAAGAATAAGTTCACCATGGCCCTGCCACCTTCCTCCTCGAACACCAGCTGCTCCCCGGGATCCGCTGACTCGGCGGCGGCGGCGGCAGCGGCCGCTTCTCGCTCCTTCCGCGCATCTTCAATCAGGGACTGCCTGCGCCCGATGAAATGGGGCGACTGTCACCAACAAACAAACAAGAAGCAAGGGTCAGAAGTGAAGCCAGCAAAGGCCCTGGTGATGTAGGGTCAAACCAGCGACCAGTCCCGAGCAGGGCAGACAATCTCGTGAACCAGAGCCAGGAACAGCCAATTCCAGGATGTGATTTGGGAGGAACTGAGGGTGCAACAGAGAGAATCAATGAAGGAAAGATAAGACCAACAAGGGGATCTGAGGGAAAGAGGGGAATCAGAAACAGGATAAACACAATCGAGAAGACAAGCTGGAAATAAGCAAGGGAGAGGGAGGAAAGGCATATGGAAAGAGAGAAATGTAAAACAAAAGAGAGAACATTTACCAGTGAACGTGAGAGCCGTGGAAGAATCAGAATTGTAACTCTTTTGGGATTATTGAGCAAAATATCTGCAACAGAATGAGAGGAATCTGGAGGTCGACGGGATTAAGGAGATTAACAATGCTAAAATCAGAGAGATGATTTAGGACTAATCTCTGTACAAGATATAAAAGAGACATAGGGGTCAGAGAGGGGAATCAGAGAGAGGAGAGACAGAGCGAGGGGGTCAGAGAGAGGAGGAACAGGGATAGAGGGATTAGAGAGAGGGAAATCAGAGGAAAAAGGCGATTTCCTGAGGAGGGTGTTAGAAAAAGAAAGCAGCATTAGGAAGACTGATGCAGAGAAGATACAAAGAGAAATGGTGGTTGAAGAAAGAGCAGAAAGAAAGGATCAAAGATCAAAAAATAAACAGAAAGTGAAGTAAAAGTGATAATTAGAAATTAAAATGATGGAAAAGGAATGTAAGAGAGGTGTGTTTTATTCGAACAATCCTAACTATATTAGTTAGGGTTAGGGTTAGGGTCAGTTCTACTTTTCTCTCTTGATGATGGTTTTAAATCTATGGCCTCCTGTGGCCAATTGTCAGGCATTGGAAATAATTTACCTTTTGAATTTGTCAAAGTTTTTCATTGACACTGAACATTTCAGAAAGAGGATCAGTTGGGGGAAAAGGTGGAATTAAACAGAGAGAGTGAAAAATGCAGGACGTGAATTAAAGAGGAAGAATGGACAATGAAAGCAATAAAGGATCATGGTGGGAAAGAAAAGACAAATCAAAATAATGGCACACATCAATGAGGAACTGGAGAAAATGGATCAAAAACATTGAATCGTAACAGAAGTTGATTGATGGACAGCTCCAGAAGATCAGACAGAGATAGCAGGTAAGAAAAAACATTGAGGAAAGAAAAGACATTCAGGAAAGAGATCACACAAAGACACATTAGAGAGAAGAGCCTATGTGAAAGGGGAATTAGAGGACTTAAATGAGATTCAGATAAATGGGAAATGGGAGAGAGAATAATCAGGGAAAAGCAAATCTTGAAAGAGTGGCTTGAAGAAGGAAAAGTGAGAGACTGGTATTAGGGATGGAAATGATGTGACAGAAATGCTAAAGAGGTAACCCGCAAAAAGAGACAGGGCACATGGATCGCAGAGCAGTAGAAACATAAACAGGCAGGATCAGAGAGAGAGAGAGAGAGAGAGAGGGGGAGAGGGAAGGGGAATAAATGGATAACCATCATTTGTGAACAAACAGGAAGAGAGACTAGCCTCAAAACAAGAAATGAGGGAGCTTCAGAGAGGCTACCATCATGTAGAACAATGAAGTCAAGGTTAGAATGGGTCAGGGAGGTAGAATTGATCAGAAGAGAGTCGCAAGAGTAAAACCAGAGAGCTCATCAACATTAGAAGGCAAGGGATCATTGGAATATGAAAATTAGAAAAAAGAAAAATGAGAGGAAAGGAAAACATAGAGAGGGCAGGAAATCAAAGGCAGAGAGTTGCAGGCTGGAAAATTAATTGTGCTTGAACAAAAGGACAAAGCTGATGGTTGAAAAATAGTGAAAGAAAGTGTGGTATCACACAGAATGAAGAAGTGAAGTCGTGAAGAATCAGAATGAGGCAACAGATAAGCAATTTTAAATAACTGATCAGAAATTGCAAAGGTCAAATCAAGAGAAATCAATGAAGTAAAGACAAAAAAAAAATCAGATATTGGACCGGCGAGATAGAAGAAGGACTTGAGTTGAGTTAATGGTGAAAGCAAAAGGAGCATACAAAGGAATCGGGGAATATAGAGGAATGAATCTGACAAGACAAGAGAATAAAGAAAGGGAACAGACAGTTTATCAGAGATGGAAAAAAACATGCATCTAAATAGCACCATACATCCTCAGAGATATCTAACATCCTCCACATCAAGAAATGCCTTCATAGAGTCCCTACAGTGTGGAAACAGGTCCTTTGGCCCAACACGTCCATGGCAAACCTCAGTGCATCCCACCCAGACCCATCCCCCTATAACCCACATATCCCTGAACACTATGGGCAATTTAGCATGGCTAATCCACCTAACCTGCACATCTTTGGACTGTGGGAGGAAACCCACACAGACAAGGGGAGAATGTGCAAACTCCACACCCGAGGCTGGAATGAAACCTGGGTCCCTGGTGCTGTGAGGCAGCAGTGCTAACAACTGTGCCACCATGCTGCCCCACACTGTAGCCTTTTGAAGTACAGTAACTGTAATGGGCAAACAGCAGCCGGTTGGGGTTTAATGTCACTACAACATGTTCACTGCTCTTCTTTTCATTCTACTATGGATTTTTTTTTGTACACCTAATGGAAACTACTCCCCAGGTTAACATTTTATTGAGAACATGGCACCTCCCTCAATGCAGTGCTCTCTTGTACACCTCTGAAGTGTCCTCATGCTCTGAACTGAGGCTTGACCCTACAGCCTTTTACCTCAGAGGTGAGACAGAGTGTTAGGAGCATCCAAGATTAACATCTGAAGGAATTAGGTGATGAATGAAAGAGAAGAAAGAATGAATGAAAAAATTGTAATAACCAGAGATTAAGAGTAATTAAAGAGTGGAATCAAAGACAGAGCATTAGAAAATAAAAAGATCAGAAAGAGACATGAACATGATAGGTAAAAATAAAGGAGAAATGATTTGTGAGATTAAAGAGGGAAAGAGGCATCAAAGAGAGAGGAATGAAAGAGTGAACAGTCAAAAGACAGAAATCAAAAAAAAAACAGACATAAAGGTAGAGAGAGGAATTTAAGAAAGTGAGAGAGAAATCATGGAAGAGAAATTAGAAATTAATTAAGAGAGGTATATTCAAGACACAGAGATTGAGAAGGTAACCTTCAAAGTAAGAAAATGATAAGTGAGGGAATTACTCCATGAGATACAGACATCACACAGACAGCACATACACAAACAAAGTCATCAAGGAATTTGTGAAACTGAAAAGGATTGTTGCCAGAGACAGCAGAGAGAAAGACTGAGATGAGGGAAAAGGGTGAATCACATACACTGACCAACCTGAATTATCAATTGTTTCTCTCTCCGTGCTTGCTGCCTGACATGTTGAGTGTTTCCAACATTTCTAATTTGATTTCAGATTGACAATCTTGTTCTACTTACAAAGAACAACCAGGGAAGCAAATGTTTGGGGTTAAAGACAAGCACAGTGATCACTGGAGATAGTAAGAACTGCAAATGCTGGAGTCTGAGATAATACAATTTGGAGCTGGAGGAACGCAAAAACAAACTTTACCCACGTCGTTCATCTCTGTCGATAAATCACCCCAGTGATCACTGTGATAACACA